GGAAGGAAAAGTATTGCGGCATCGCATTGGGAAGACAAAGGAGTTCAGCCAGGGCGGGAGCCAGATGGGGGTAAGTGGCTGCCATATGACAATCGACTTATAACACGATAGATTACATACGTAGGTTCAGCCGTATAATTTTCATGTCAAATAAGAGCAGAATCTTTTGAAGTCACGTTGAGATCTTTCTAATGTCATGGGGGGGGGGGGGGTGGGGGGTATTCAATACACCCCACAACGTGCCCTGAAGCTGAAAGCCCAAATGAGATGATGAACAAATAAATTCCACTGACGACGTCCCTCTTGTATGGGATCTGAGAGTGGCTGCTTGCCCTGGGAACTGCTCCCAGCTCACAGGTGCTCGCGAGGAAAGCGGGGGAACCATCGGCAGGGTGCTCGCATTGCAGTCCAACGGCAGGTCCCTGCATGTCCTGGCAGGAGTCTTGCCGAACCATGAGTTTGGCTGAATAGAAAACGCCTTTGGAATGTGTGGTTGCAGGGGGTTGTGAATGGCGACATTAGGGAGGCGCTTGGCCAATGAAAATCGCATCTCCTTTCTTTACGAGGTCGCTTTTTCCCTCTAGGGCAGTGCTTTTCACAAACAGCATCGACTTTGCACATTCGCTAACCTCACCTCAAACCCACACAATGTTGGGCTGCTGGGTGGACGTACAGAGCGGTCAGCGTCCACGCCACGACTCTGGCGCTTTGTGAATAATCCTTGGTGTGCAATCTCACTGTAGCCACGCTGGATTTTTTAAAACTGGGAATGACCGACTTGAGGTTTACTGCAAAGTGGATGTTAATGATCCCTTGTAAACATTCACGACAATAGACTGTTGAGTGCTGACATCACGGCTCAAGTATCAGCTTTAAATGTACGTGAAACTTCTGTATGTAATCAGTATGAAGTTTGTATGTTCTCCCTGTGGTCGCGTAGATTTTTTCTCTGGGTCCACCGGTTTTTCCCTCCACATTTAGAAACATGCATTGAGATTTTTTAGATTATTTTGCTACTATGAATGTCCAAATCATAAGCCACTTTGTTGAGCTATCGTTTGTGGCCAGGTCGCGTCTGAAAAATAAGTGAATATCTGGGCTTTGTCTGGTAGGAAGGGGATGGTTTAGTTGTATTTGTTTGTGTTTGGGTGATTTGTTTACCTTTCTTGTATTCATAATCAACGTTTTTGGGTTTAGATCGCGTTATTTATAAATGTGTCGTAACCCTCCACCACCCGACACGGCCAATCAGTAAAAATGTGTCACATTGACAAAGACAAATAGTTCACTGCTTTAGCCCACCGGTGTGTTGAAGCCACAACATTTACAATTTGAGTACGACGTTTCGCTGGTAATTGCATCCAGCATCATCGGGCAATTCGCCAGAATGGTGAGGCTCTGCTGTGTCTCCCGTTCTTATATAGAGCAGCAGCAGGGTGACGTCATCATTAACTCATTAACTCATCAGGTGCAAAGATTCAAGGGGGGAGTGATTGTAATTATATACTAGATTAGTAATCAGGCTATTGTTACGATGCGAGTTGTAGATTAGTAATCATTTGGAATGTGTTTTATTGTGATTATGCTACATTAGTAATCAGTTAGTGGTTGTTTCCCTTATAAGGAATTGTAATGTATCTTATTTAATAATACGCTTCCAGGCCGCACTTTCTTGTACTTGCACTACTATCTTGTTTTTGTATTGTTTGTTGTAACAACAAATCTAAATTATCTGCCTTCAACCTGCACGAATCAGCAGTATTGTTTGTTGTAACGTTCTTTACCCTGTGCCCCTATTGGACATCTGTGAAAAGAGCTTCATAGCTCATCGGATTTCTCCAGTATAAAGAAATATTTAGATTCTGATGTGCTGTCACATCACGGAAATTCGATATCAATGGGCCATCCCCCGGCTAAAATGCCATGGGGCTGGGTGAACCAAGTACTTCAACACCTTTGACATTAGCACCGCACCATCGTGCAGCCTGCTCAACAAAAGAGCCTTTTAATATATCAATTTTATTACCAAAAATTCACCAACACGGCATGTTACATTTATGTTTATCTGTCCCAAGTTGAATGGCCCCATGGTGTTCTTTGAGTGCTCCTGCCTCTGAACACCATGCAAGCCAGCAGTATTTGTTGACTCAGGAAGTTGAAACCCATCCAGAGTTTGTTGCTTAGGCAATACGGCCGGACAATATCGTTCCGAGAGGCTCATAGACTGATGGATTTAATTCATATTGGAATTTCTGGTGGTGAAATAGACTCCTTTGTCCATCCGTTTTTCTGTCATTCCTTCATCGCTGAGAAGCCACCAGGACGGCGCATGGTAAATTGGGAACACTGTAGCGGAATAACCAGGATTGAAGGTGTCCCCCCCCCCCCCTGGTGTGAGGGGGGGGGGGGTTAAGGTCCTCCTGATCGCAGCGAATTGACAGCTGCTGTGGAGAGAGCTCAGTTGGGGGGACTGTGTGGAGAGGGGACCCCTCCCCCTTTTGGAATTTTGCTGGGCGTCCGTGTCCACGCTTAACGTTCTAGCCAGTGACCCCCTGATATGCGAAACACTTGCCTACATTCTGTTTGTTAATGATGATAGCGCCCATCGTCAAATCGCCCGGAATGTGGCCGACCTCGTCAGGTCTCGGAAGATAAGCTGAATTAAGCCAAAATAGTTATTGGGATGGGCGGACACCGTGCGTGGTTGGCGTTATAAGCGGCAGGGTCTGGTTGTGGGCAACAGGGTAGTGCGGCATAATCCATTGCACTGCGTTTACTTCCACGTGTCAGCTGTCTGCCTTCAACCCGCGCGAATCAGCGTGACGAAGCAGTGTAAAGTAACCCCCAGCATGGGAAGGGACCTCATCCAGCAGTGGATTTACAAAAGGGGTTGCGACATGTACACGGGAGTATTTGTTTTTGCTTGTACAGCACTACCAATGCGTTGAGGCCGATTGGCTTTAGTGTGGTCACATGGTAGTATTTCTTTGCACAAATGTGACGACTCTTTTATCCGTTCTCCACTGGGGTTGGCTGCTTTGGCTTCCCAATGTTCGCATCCCACCGTTATCTGCCGCAGCATGGCCTGCAAGGCCCAGTCCTCTTCACTTTCATTCACTAAGAACACTTAAACTACTCTCTTAGTATTCCATTAACAAATGTTACTGTTGTTAATTGGGAAGTCGTCATTGTACAAATATTTAATTTTAGTCGGTGGCGAGATGTTAACTCCCCCGCCTTGTATACAGGTCATGGGTTCGATCCGGATCCTGACGCCTGCTGTATATTTAGAAGGGGGTCTTCTTTTTCTCTGTGCATGCATCTTTATATGCAAATGTTGTGGCATTATGGCTATCCCAATACAGTTCCAGCTGGTGTCGTGTGGTACACGACCAGCTATATTTAGCTTCGGTCTCCCATAGATTGACTCAGCTCAAATTAGTATTGCCTGGTGCGTAGTAAACAGCACGAAGAAATTTGGTCGTGTTATATAAATTAAATATAATCACCATATGAATGTGGCTCTGACGTCGTGAAGGGAGTCTGCTGTGTTGTGATGGCTAAAGGTTGTATTGATCTCGGCTGTGCGATTCTCTAACCCGCACGCATGTTGTGTTGCAGAGAGAGCTGTACAGGGAGTACTTGAAGCAGAGCGTTGGAGAGCAAGACATGGACTGAAGTCTCACCACTTGCACCATTCTCACACTTAGTACTTTCTTTTAGCCAGAAAGTCCCGAATGTTGTTCCGAGAATTATTTTCGCATGCTACATCCATCTCGCCTCGTTTTATGCTAAACCCGTTCGTAAGATTAAAGCGATATTGATTGCAATAAGTTAGTATTATGGATCGGCCTAGTGGTTAGTGGTAGTGCCTTAAGCCGGTAATCCCTACTCCATTCCAGCCGAGCAGCTCTCCGAGAAATATGACTTGAGAAATTTGCGGACGGATACCCACTCAGTGCGTCACTGTTATATTTGAGCCCCTCGTTAGGAAGTGCTTGACTACCCCCACCTACTACCGCCCCTGTGTACCACTGTGTGTGTGCTTTCAGTTGAATCTCATTTGTGTTGTCAAAAGCCACTGGTACATGACACTGGATTCTTTAAAAAAAATCGAAACCACGCTAAATCTTTGTTGTCGCTGTCGTCACCGCCGAGTCGCCACCAGCGGGCGCTGGAGCAGCACTCGCTCGCTCACTCGCACCCACCACGTGTCCACGATACATTCCGCCCGCGGTCACGTGCGCGAGGGGCCGCCACGTGGGGACGTGCCTATGACGTCATCCCGCACGTGGGGGAGGTGGGTTAGCGCACGTGCACCCGTGACGTCATAGTGTTGAGTCGCGGACGTCACGAGGCTGCCGCATTGTCGCCGAGCCGTTTTGATTTGTCCGCACGAACACAATAGAAAGGCGCTGCGTCGCGATGTTGCGGTTGGGCGAAAGGGGGCTGCGCTCGCCGCCTCGTGCGGCAAAGGCGACCGCCGGCCCCCGTCGGGCGTCGCTTCAGGCGCGGGACGGAGAAACGGTCCCGCGGGGAATGTTTCAATTCGCTCCGAGCGAGCTTTTGGCGCGCCCATGTTGGGTGAGGGAGGGCACCTTCGAGTCGGCTGGGGGTTGCGTGACGTCACTAAGATGCGCAACAGCCCCCGCACGGCCGCCCCCCCCCCGCACGGCCACCCCCCCCCCCCCGCACAGTCGCCCCCCCCCCCCGCACGGTCACACCCTCCCCGCACGGCCGCCCCCCCCCCCCCGCACGGCCGCCCCCCCCCCCCGCACGGCCGCCCCCCCCCCCCCCGCACGGCCGCCCCCCCCCCACGTCCACGAAGCGACACCTCAACTCCTTTAGCAACATGGCCACCGCGGTCGTCGGCGGTCGCGCCCCGGCGACGTCACTCCCGTTGAGAACTCGCCGGCTGGATGGGCGCAGGCAGCGGCGTGTGATTGGTCGCGGCGTGGATGGGGGGGGGGGGGGCGTCACGTGGTGCGGGAGGGCGGGGTCACGTGGGGGGGGGAGGAGCAGCAGAGGGAGCGAGATGGCGGCTGCGGCGAGCTGCTCGGGCGTTCCGCTCCCGGCCGCGGCGACAGCGGCGACCGCGGACGGCAGAGAACTCTCCGAGCGCCTCGCACGCCTCTACCCGGCCGTGGACGAGGCCGAGAACCCCCTGCCGCGATCATGGAGCCCCAAGGACAAGTTCAGCTACATCGGCCTCTCGCAGAATAACCTTCGCGTTCACTACAAAGGTGCCGGGTGGCGCGGCCCGGGCGGGGCCCTCTCCCTCCCGTGTCTCTCTGTGTCTCTGTGTCTCTCCGTGTCCCCCCGTGTCTCTGTGTCTCTCCGTGTCCCCGTGTCTCTGTGTCTCTCCGTGTCTCTGTGTCTCTCCGTGTCCCCCGTGTCTCTGTGTCTCTCCGTGTCCCCCCGTGTCTCTGTGTGTCTCCGTGTCCCCCGTGTCTCTGTGTCTCTCCGTGTCTCTGTGTGTCTCCGTGTCCCCCCGTGTCTCTGTGTCTCTCCGTGTCCCCCCGTGTCTCTGTGTGTCTCCGTGTCCCCCGTGTCTCTGTGTCTCTCCGTGTCCCCTCGTGTCTCTGTGTCCTCTAATCAGTGGCAACATTGTGCTCCCGTATCTTGTGTCCGTCTCCGCACCCCTGTGTCTCTGCGTGTCTGTGTCCCCTGTGTCTCTGCGTGTCTGTGTCTCTGTGTATCTGTGTCTCTGTGTATCTGCGTGTCCCGTGTGTCTGTGTGTCTCTGTCTCCTGACTCCGTAGCCTTGTATCGTGTCTCCTGGTTGCTGTATCTCATGTGTCCATCCGTCTCCCTCCTTGTTTCTCTCTGCCTCACCGCGCGTCTCTGAGCATCTCCTGATTTCGCGTCTCTGATTGTATCTGTTGCCGTTCCCCGTGTATCTCCGACGCCGTCTCCCAGCCCCCAGGTCTCCAACCATGTACTACTTGGTTTTGCGGATCTTATTTCCCCGCCGCCTTGGCTTTGTCTTCATCCCAGTCGCTTCCCCACTTGTATAACCCCCTCCTGGTTACGTCTCTCCCAGCCTCTGCCCGCACATCGCCACTCTGTCTCCGTCACCACTTTTGCCTCCGCGGCTCTTTTTTCGTGTCACCATTCTCGTCTCCGTACATCCTGCATCCTCCTCCTCCTCTCTGCCTGTCCATCTCGCTCAGTTGCTGTCTCCGTGTCTCTCTCTCAGCCCATCGTCCTCGTCTCCCCCCCCCCCGTGTTGTACCGGAGCTGTCTCCCGTCTCTCCATGTCGCATCCTCATACCGCTCTCGTCTCCGTGCTCCACTCTTTTGTCTCGCTATTTGTTTATATACAGTGCAGCACACACTGTATTCTTTGTCCCCAGCTCTCTCTTCTCTCTCCCTTCCGCCTTTGTCTCGGAGTCCGCATCTCAGTTTCTCTCTCTCTCTGCCTGAACGCATCCCTTTCCGTGTCATCTCCCCCCTCTCTCTCTCCACGTCTCTCTTTCACTCACGCCATCTCGCCTGGCTTTCTCTCTCTCTTCCATCTCCTGCCCCACCGTTCACCCCCAATTCCATCACTGCTTCCCACCGCCATTCACTGCCGTCAGCATCTTCATCCTCCCCTTCGCCACCACCACCACCACCAACCGTAATGCCTGCGTCGTCGTCGTTATAACGTCAGCACATCAACGTTTGATATTCATCGTGCGTTTCAACCACTCACGTCGCTATTTTCATTATCGCCACGATCGTGACTTAAATGCATCGCCATCGTCAACTTGACGCACGTACTTGTACGTCAATCATCATCGCCATCATCGCAATCATCATCGCCATCATCATCGCCATCATCATCGCAATCATCATCGCAATCATCGTCGCCATCATCGTCGCAATCATCATCGCAATCATCATCGCAATCATCATCGCAATCATCGTCGCCATCATCGTCGCCATCATCATCGCAATCATCATCGCAATCATCATCGCCATCATCGTCGCCATCATCATCGCAATCATCATCGCAATCATCATCGCCATCATCGTCGCCATCATCATCGCAATCATCATCGCAATCATCATCGCCATCATCGCAATCATCGTCGCCTGGGTCTATGTCTGATTCCGGCCGCAGAAACCCTCGCTGTTTGCTGACGATGCAGCCGCAGCTTCTGCTGGTGGTGGTGGTTGTTAGCGGTTGTTGTGGTGGTGGTTGTTGGTGTGGTGGTGGTTGTTGTTGTTGGTGCGGTGGTGGTGGTTGTTGGTGTGGTGGTGGTGGTTGTTAGCGGTTGTTGTGGTGGTGGTTGTTGGTGTGGTGGTGGTTGTTGTTGTTGGTGCGGTGGTGGTGGTTGTTGGTGTGGTGGTGGTGGTTGTTGGTGTGGTGGTGGTGGTTGGTGTGGTGGTGGTGGTGTGGTGGTGGTGGTGGTTGTTGGGGTGGTGGTGGTGGTTGGTGGTTGTTGGTGTGGTGGTGGTTGTTGGTGTGGTGGTGGTGGTGGTTGGTGGTTGTTGGTGTGGTGGTGGTTGTTGGTGTGGTGGTGGTGGTTGTTGGTGTGGTGGTGGTGGTTGTTGGTGTGGTGGTGTGGTGGTGGTGGTGGTTGTTGGGGTGGTGGTGGTGTGGTAGTGGTGGTGGTTGTTGGGGTGGTGGTGGTTGTTGGTGTGGTGGTGGTGGTGGTTGTTGATGTGTTGGTGGTTGTTGATGTGGTGGTGGTTGTTGATGTGGTGGTGGTGGTTGTTGATGTGGTGGTGGTGGTTGTTGATGTGGTGGTGGTGGTTGTTGATGTGGTGGTTGTTGTTGGTGTGGTGGTGGTGGTTGTTGGTGTGGTGGTGGTGGTGGTTGTTGGTGTGGTGGTGGTGGTGGTTGTTGGTGTGGTGGTGGTGGTTGTTGCTGTGGTGGTGGTGGGGTGGTTGTTGGTGTGGTGGTGGTGGTGGTTGTTGGTGTGGTGGTGGTGGTGGTTGTTGGTGTGGTGGTGGTGGTGGTTGTTGGTGTGGTGGTGGTGGTGGTTGTTGGTGTGGTGGTGGTGGTGGTTGTTGGTGTGGTGGTGGTGGTGGTTGTTGGTGTGGTGTTGGTGGTGGTTGTTGGTGTGGTGGTGGTGGTGGTTGTTGGTGTGGTGGTGGTGGTGGTTGTTGGTGTGGTGGTGGTGGTGGTTGTTGGTGTGGTGGTGGTGGTGGTTGTTGGTGTGGTGGTGGTGGTGGTTGTTGGTGTTGTGGTGGTGGTTGTTGGTGTGGTGGTGGTGGTGGTTGTTGGTGTGGTGGTGGTGGTTGTTGGTGTGGTGGTGGTGGTGGTTGTTGGTGTGGTGGTGGTTGTTGGTGTGGTGGTGGTTGTTGCTGTCACTGTGGCTTTTGTCATGAAGTTGTTGTGGCCGCTTATTGTAGTCGTGTTCGTTGTTGTCTTGCGATTATTTGTAGTTTCAGCTGCGCTGTTACATTGTCATAATTGTTGTTATTGTCACGGTTGTCATTTTGGTTCAAGTTGTATACACGGGGGCTGTGGTGTTGATGTGATAATTATCGTTATCGATTGTTGTGTCCGCCATGCCCGTTGTGGTTATGATGGTAAAGGTTATTGTTGTCAATGTTGTTATGGTTGTGATGCGATTGTTTTCTGTGTGTAACGGTTGTAATGTGCTTGTTTATGTAATGGTTGTGATTTGTATTATGTCATTGACGTAATGGTGGTTGTTTCGTGGTTGATGATGTAATGGTGGTTGTTATGCTGTGGTTGTCGATGATGTAATGGTTTTGTGGTGATTGTGATGGTCGTGGTTACGTGGTTGGTGTAACGGTTGATGTAGTAGTTGTGCTGTTTGTTGTGGTTATGATTTGACAGTTTTAATGATGTGGTTGTCGCTATTTTCCAGTGCGTGGTGGTGGTGGTGTTGTGATTGTTAGGCTATTGTCGTTAGTCGAGGTGTCTTTTGTTGTGCCAAGCGGCTTTCAGTCGCCACCCAGCAGTGAGCCAGCCCACGTGAATGTCGTCGCGTTAAATGTCCTGGCGCAGTGGGCACATTGGAGACTGCAGCACGGAACGCGGTCGCGCCGAGGTGGAAAACGCCCCGCGTTGCCGTGCCTGCGCGGCACGGCAAGACCGAGAGAGCCCTGGTGACTGGGTTCACCTTGAGCCGGGTTCACCGTGAGCCGGGTTCACCGTGAGCCGGGTTCACCGTGAGCCGGGTTCACCGTGAGCCGGGTTCACCGTGAGCCGGGTTCACCGTGAGCCGGGTTCACCGTGAGCCGGGTTCACCGTGAGCCGGGTTCACCGTGAGCCGGGTTCACCGTGAGCCGGGTTCACCGTGAGCCGGGTTCACCGTGAGCCGGGTTCACCGTGAGCCGGGTTCACGGTGAGCCGGGTTCACGGTGAGCCGGGTTCACCGTGAGCCGGGTTCACCGTGAGCCGGGTTCACCGTGAGCCCGGGTTCACCGTGAGCCCGGGTTCACCGTGAGCCCGGGTTCACCGTGAGCCCGGGTTCACCGTGCAGGGTTCATTTGGGATGCGCAATGGGATCTCGCGCGCATTGACCGTTGCCGTGTACACCTGCGTGGAGTAGATAAATGTTGTGTTTGTGTACGACTTAGTCCGGATGCAGTTTTGCCGTATTGCGTATACTTAGCTGCACCAGTGTGCTCTGGGTAAGACTGGCCCCTGTCGTGGCAATGTCGAATTTCCACCGTTGGTCACAAACAAATTGGGAACTGCTCTGTGCCCATTTGAGCACGGAGATGTTTTGACGGGTTTTTTTCCTCTTTGACTCCATTAATGCGTTCCACCAAGCATCCCTCTGTGTGTGTACAGTGCGCTTTGTGTGGTCAGTGCACTGCGGTGGGTACAATTTGCCGTGCGTGTACAGTGCATTATTCGTGCGCGCGGTCCACACTGAGAAATCAAAAGGTAAATATTTCTCCCTGCTGTCATCGCAATGAGCCAGCATCGTCACTGGCTGCCGTGGTAGAAATCCCACATTCCCGCACCGGGCCAGTCCTTTAATGTAGTACAGCTGGGATTTATACAACATCTTAAATCAAGTTGTGGATGATGCACAGCAAGCAGTACGGCTCTGGGAACCACACCACACAGCAAAATATGTACATTGCAGCAGTTAGTCAAGGGCAGAAGAGATGTTACTTACATGTAAGATAAGATGCATCTGTATAAGATACAATACAAGTCTTGAGCCGAGCCGTGAACATTGGCAGCACAGATTTCTGGGGAGATGTAAATGCAGACGACGAGAGCAGCAGTGGAGAAGGAGAGACCTCCACTGAGCGGAGTTTGA